CTAAATCTCTAAACTCTAAATCCTTCAAATTAAAGTAAATCTTTAATGGTTTTTGTGCAAATTCATGTGTGTTATTGTTCATCACATCATAAATGATGATTGACATAATTTTGACATAACTAGCATGTTTAAAATGACGGTTACGAAGCGAGTGCAATGAATGCACCTAAAATAGTAAGTGCACCGAAGACGCCACCTATTTATGATATTATTACTAGTTTATATATAACAACACAATAACGCGCAAATTTTAAAGTTTAAATCCAAAAGCAACATCTCTCGGCAAGTTGAGTTATTGTACAAACTGATTACTTCGTTGATAATTGTAAATCCTTTTACATACCAGAGTAAAGCAAGATATTCAAAAGGAATGGCAGGAAGGAACTGAAAGTCCAGAATGGTCATTAATTTCTCTCTCGAAATCGAGTCGACCAGGGCTACATAGTATGCAATCTGAATAACATTGTTATTGCATGGAATCCCATTAGATTTGGTTAGAACTCAGATGGGTAAGTTGAGATCTCATGGCCATGGGAATCCTGGACAGGCAATATTGGAGACAAAAGCAAGTTGAAACCTTTTGGCAAAAGATCAACACCGATCACTATTCACTTCAATTGGGGAGAAGGAATTAAGGCATCCACGAGGCAGACTTTGGCAATTCACATGGCTGTCCCAGAATATACACAATTATTTATGCTGACATGGCATTCGTGTCTAGTGCCACATAAGGACCAGCGGCCCTACCAAAACCTGAAAACCATATTGTGGTATTGGATAAGCAGGAACCCTAAGTCATATCCATCATCTTGACACATCAAAATCTTTTCATGTTATCTCGAAAAACCTTTGGCAAAATTAGTCTAAAAGAATAAAAATAGTATAAGATTTACTAGAATTTTCTTATCGATTCGATTTCGTGAGATAATTTAACGAAAAGCTGGTGTGTTTACGCGTACACTGTTGCTGTTGAAGGCTGTGAGGGTTTGTTCTAATCCGAATCCGTTCTGGAGAAGGAAAAGAACAGTGCTGCGCGTTTTAGTTGTTTTAAGTATTAGTGAATAAAACTGTGTCGTATGGTCTTTTACAGTTTTAGTACCTAGTGTTTGAGTTTGTGTGATGAGGGTCATTTAGCCGTTGTGGCTGTTAGCTGAAGCAGAGGGGTTCGTTGTTTGGGAAGCTATTTCCCAGGGATTGGGCTGTTAGGTTGTTTTTCCAGAGCCGAAAGTTTCTGGCTCTAGTTGAGAGTCTTGTGTATATATTTCATCTTCAATCAATGAATAAGTCGTCAGTTTGCAATACATCTTTGAGTTAACAAAGTGGTATCAGAGCGGGTTTGCGAGCTGTAACCAAGGAGAGTTGTGTGAGTTGTGTGATTCGTGAGTGCAAAAGAAAGTAATCGAGTGAGTTTCTGGGTTGGGAAACACGAGTGAATCAGTGCAGCGAGGAAATTTTTGGTGAGTGAAAATATGAGTGAAAGCAGCTTTGCTCAGGTCTGCATTCCCAAATTTGATGGGGATTTCGACCACTGGAGCCTGCTAATGGAAAATCTACTGCGATCCAAAGAGTATTGGACAGTGGTTCAAGATGGAATAAGGGAGCCTGCACAAGGAGAACAGCTGACTGAGGCTCAACAAAAGGGGCTAGATGAGAGGAGACTGAAGGATCTCAAGGCGAAGAACTATCTCTTTAGTTCTATTGACAAGAGTATACTGAAGACTATCACACAAAAGGCAACGGCAAAGGAATTATGGGATTCCATGAAGACAAGGTACCAGGGCAGTGAAAGGGTGAAGAAATCACAGCTTCAGAGTCTTAGAAGAAGTTTTGAATTGCTACAGATGAAGGAGGGAGAGTCTGTTGCAGACTACTTTGGCAGAGTGATGACTGTGGCTAATTCCATGAGGAATTGTGGAGAGGAGATGCCAGATGTGAAGATTGTGGAGAAGGTATTAAGAACTCTGTCCACCAAATTCAATTATATTGTTTGCTCGATTGAAGAATCCAAGGATATAGAAGAACTCAGTGTTGAAGCCCTGCAAAGCTCTTTACTGGTTCATGAACAAAAGTTTACCAAGCCTCCAGTAGAGGAAGAACAGGCATTAAAAATGACATTTGAATATGGGGGCAGAGGTGGAAGAGGGTCTGGGAGAGGCATGTTTCAAGGTAGAGGAAGGGGAAGAGGAAGAGGGCTGAATCGTGACTTGGTGGAATGCTTTAAGTGTCATAAACTGGGCCATTTCAAAGCAGAATGCCCTGAGTGGTATGGCAACCAGCAAGCATACTACACAAGCCATGGTTCTCGTCCCAATGATTCAAATAATTCCTACCCTGATATGACTGAAGATGTGCTGCTAATGGCTTTTGTGGAACAACAGCAAGAGAAGATGGAGGAGAAGATTGTGCAGAACTCCATGGCCCTTCTGGACACACAGCCTGATGAAAGAAAGGATACCTGGTGGTTTCTGGATTCTGGATGCAGTAATCATATGTGTGGTGAAAAGCAGTGGTTCATCACAATGGAAGCCAGCAATGATTGTAATGTAAAGCTGGGGAATGGAACTAAAATGGCAGTGGCTGGTACAGGCACAGTTAGGTTGATGGTTGATGGAGTCTCATTATCCATCAGAGACGTGTTTTATGTTCCAGGTCTTACAACAAACCTACTGAGTGTAGGACAACTACAGGAAAGGCAGCTGAGCTTTGTGATTAAAGGTGGACTCTGCAAGATTTACCATGAGGAGAAGGGGCTTCTACTGCAAACAGCAATGAAAACCAACAGGATGTTTGTTCTGCATTCTCAAAAGCAGTCAAACTATTCTAAAGGGGATCATTTGTGTCTGCAGAAGGAAGCCAGTACTAATACATTAGATCTTTGGAATAGGAGATTTGGTCACCTCAATTGCCAAAGTCTAATGCAAATGCAGAAGAAGAATGCTGTGCAAGGGATACCACAACTACAAGGAGATCTGGGAATCTGCTCCACCTGTAAGATTGGGAAGCAACACAGAGGAAGTTTTCCAAAGAAAAGCACATGGAGAGCCACCAAGAAGCTTCAATTGATCCACGCTGACCTATGTGGACCAATCACCCCAGCTTCCATTGGAGGCAAGAGGTATATTCTGACAATCACTGATGATTTTAGCAGAAAACTTTGGGTATATTTCTTAGAAGCAAAATCAGAAACCTTGGATTGCTTTAAGAAATACAAGGCTCAGGTGGAAAAGGAGACAGGAGAATCCATTATATGCCTCAGAACAGATAGAGGAGGGGAGTTCCTCTTGAATGAGTTCAAAGAACTCTGTGAAGCTGCTGGGATAAGAAGGCAGCTAACTGCTGCATTGACTCCCCAACAAAATGGGGTTGCAGAAAGAAGAAATAGAACCATAATGAATATGGTCAGGTGTTCTCTGGCTGACATGAAGGTTCCAGCTGTGTTCTGGCCAGAAGCAGTGGCATGGACTGGTCATGTACTGAACAGAAGTCCAACCTCAGCCAATTCTGGAAAAACTCCACAAGAACTTTGGACAGGTAAACCCCCAGCTGTTGGCCACTTTAAGATTTTTGGGTGTGTGGCATATGTACATGTGAATGATCATTTGAGAAAGAAGCTCGATGACAAGAGTAGGCAGTGCTATTTCATAGGCCTGTCTACTGAATCTAAGGCATATAAACTGTATAATCCTGTCACCAAGAAGGTACTCATCAGCAGAGATGTGGTTTTTGATGAGACAAAGGACTGGAACTGGGATTCTGAAGCACAACCAGAGTTGATCAAGATCGTGTGGGATGGAAGTGATGAGCCATGGTATGATTCTGAAGGAGAGGAAGAAGAATCTGGAACTCCAGATGCACCAGATGCACCAGAACCAGTCACTCCCATCACACCAGCAACAAATACAGCACATCAGAATGAAGGGGAGGAAGAAGAAGAAGATGATGAAGCTAATTCTGATGTGCTTGGACTTCCTAGTAGAGGTCTAGGCCCCAGGGTCAGACATCCACCTCAGCATCTGTCAATCTATGACTGTACTTATTTTGCAGGATTAGATTGTCTGGCAATGGTGACCATAAGTGATGATCCCACTACATTTGAAGAAGCTGTGCAGGATGAGAAATGGAGGAGTGCTATGAAACAAGAAATGACCAGCATTGAAAGGAATGACACATGGATACTGGTGGAACTTCCTGCAGGAGTGACTCCAATTGGAGTCAAGTGGATCTTTAAAACCAAGCTGAAGGAAGATGGAACTGTGGATAAGTTTAAAGCTAGGCTGGTGGCAAAGGGATATGCTCAGAAGCATGGCATAGACTACACTGAAGTCTTTGCACCAGTTGCTAGATGGGACACCATCAGAACTATGCTTGCTTTGGCTGCACACCATGGATTTCCAGTGTATCAGCTCGATGTAAAAAGTGCATTCTTGCATGGTGAGCTGACAGAAGAGGTGTATGTCATGCAGCCTCAAGGTTTTGAAGTGTCTGGGGAGGAGCAGAAGGTATACAAGCTTAAAAAGGCCCTCTATGGACTAAAACAAGCCCCAAGAGCTTGGTACAGCAGGATCGAGGCTTACTTCCTCAAAAGTGGCTTCAGGAGAAGTGATTATGAACACACTTTGTTCATAAAAAGGGCTGGAAGTGACATACTACTGGTCAGTCTCTATGTTGATGACCTTATGTATGCAAGCAGCAGTCCTAAACTCATAGAAGATTTCAAGAAGTCTATGGAGTCAGAGTTTGAAATGACTGACTTAGGAAGGATGAAGTATTTCCTGGGAGTTGAGGTACATCAGAGCAATGCAGGTATCTTTATTAACCAGCAGAAGTATGTGAAGGAGATTCTGGATAAATTTGGCCTCTCGAGCTGCAATTTTGCAAAGAATCCTATTACTCCTGGAGCTAAGTTGACCAAGGCAGGAGATGGGATTCAAGTTGATGCTACAGAATATAAGAGGTTGATTGGAAGTCTGCTCTACACCTGTGCTACCAGACCAGACATCATGTATGCTATATGCATGTTGAGCAGGTTCATGGAGGCTCCCACCAGACAACATATGTTTGCAGCAAAACGGGTTCTGAGATACCTAAAAGGGACAAGCACTTATGGCATCTGGTACAAAAGGAAAGATAAGAACAGCAAGCTTCTTGGCTATACAGATAGTGACTATGCAGGGGATCTGGATGACAGAAAATCCACCAGTGGTTATGTGTTCTTCATTGCAGGTGGAGCTATATCCTGGGCCTCGAAGAAGCAACCAGTTGTCACCCTGTCCACAACAGAAGCTGAGTTTGTAGCTGGTTCTTACTGTGCTGCACAGTGTGTATGGTTAAGGAAGATACTCGAGCAAATGGGATGGGAAGACAGTGTGTCTGCTGCTACCAAGGTTCTGTGTGACAGTAGTTCAGCCATTAAGCTGTCCAAAAATCCTGTCTTTCACGGTAGGAGTAAGCACATTGATGTGCGGTTTCATTTCCTGAGGGATTTGGCTAAAGAGGAGATGATTGAGATGGAACATTGCAGGAGCCATGAACAAGTGGCTGATATCATAACCAAAGCCCTTAATCTGGATGCATTTCAGAATTTGAGGTACCAACTGGGAGTGTGCGCAGAAGAGGAATTCAAGTTGGGAGAATGAACAATGATGATGTTGTGAACTGAAGTCAGAAGAATTGCTAGAAGGGGACTTCAGTTCAGGGGAGGAAGATGTTGCTGTTGAAGGCTGTGAGGGTTTGTTCTAATCCGAATCCGTTCTGGAGAAGGAAAAGAACAGTGCTGCGCGTTTTAGTTGTTTTAAGTATTAGTGAATAAAACTGTGTCGTATGGTCTTTTACAGTTTTAGTACCTAGTGTTTGAGTTTGTGTGATGAGGGTCATTTAGCCGTTGTGGCTGTTAGCTGAAGCAGAGGGGTTCGTTGTTTGGGAAGCTATTTCCCAGGGATTGGGCTGTTAGGTTGTTTTTCCAGAGCCGAAAGTTTCTGGCTCTAGTTGAGAGTCTTGTGTATATATTTCATCTTCAATCAATGAATAAGTCGTCAGTTTGCAATACATCTTTGAGTTAACATACACTGACTACAATGTTTTCTTTTTTTAATAAGTGGGATGATTTCATTAAAGGACGCACGACGACTACAATATTGGCGGTTGGTTTTCAAGGATAGTATATGGGTTCGTAAATCTTCTAACTAGAATTAATACAGGTGGATAGTGAATGGGTTACAGGTAATCTGTCGTAGGGAGGAGACGATTGAAAATTTTCCACAGGAAAATTCTTAACTTGGAGGGAATAGGAGCTTCCCACAACCGAATCTAGCTGGGCCTATCCATCCAACTAGCCATCGACCCTCCTTTTTATCCATCAAGACTGCCAAGTGGTAAGCTGACAGTGAAAAGCCCAGTCAGACGTACCATGCCAAACTAGACGATCCTCAACATTATGTCTCGAAAGAGGGATCTCTTTAATAGCACGACAAGTAGGTGGATCAAACCACTGGCTAAGTTTTGAGTCACACCAACTTTCTTCCCCATGGCAAATAACATCTGCAACCACAAGTTTACCATCTTCTGGCAAGACCTGGGGGTTAAAAGTATGAGCTAGGGGGTGGAGACGAGGCACCCCATTGGTATGTAGCATCGAAGCTGACTGGCCATTACCAATTTGCCATCTTAACCCCTGCACCAACAACTACGTATCGGGCGAAGAGTATGCTTTGCCAGCACAAGTATGGGTGAGAACGCGCAGTAGCATCGAGGAAACATCCTTTCGAAAAATATTTCCCTTTGTACACCTGGGCAAGAAGAGAGGTCAGATCATTCAGGATGCGCCAACCAATCTTGGCTAGAAGCGCCTGATTGAAATGCTCAAAACGGCGAAACCTCATTCCTCCGTCATGCTTACTTGCACATGTTCCGTCAGGACATCCATCGTATCTTTGATTGTCCATTTTCCACACCCCACCAAAACCAGGCAACGTGCTTGTCCAATAGGCGACAAAGCGAGAGAGAGAGTTTAAAGCAGGACATAACATGTAATGGCAAGGCCAGAGCGATTGATTTTATCAAAGTCTCTTTCGCTGCCCAAGACAGAGTCCTCAGTTTCCATCCATGAAGTCGAGCTAGCAACTTTTCTTCCAAGTAGCAAAACGTATCCATTTTTTATCGGGCGATCAGGGTAGATAGTCTCAGATATTTATCATGGACCCCAACAGCCCCAACACCCAGAATCTGAGCAAGGAACTCTTGGTATGGTAGAGCGATATTCCTGTTAAAGCAAACCGCTGACTTTGTCAAGTTAATCCTTTGGTCACTAAGTTCCTCATATTCATTTAACACCGTGATCAAATTCTCACATCTTGAAAAGATCCTCTAAAAAATAAGTATGAATCATCGGCAAAAAATAAATGCGAGATCTGAGGAGATCGGGGGGCGACCTTGACCCCTTCCAGTTTCCCATCCGAAATAACTTTCCGCAGGGCTGCATTTTTTTCTTCTTCTTTTCTAATAGCCATTGTGAGAATTGCTTTTATCCGCAATCCAACCACATCTACTTGCAGTGGCGGATCTAGGGGGTGGCCACCCCGGGCCCCGGCCCAGCCCTCCTCTGGATCCGGAACTAGTATAGCCCTTACGAGTTTATCGATTTAACTATTTGGGCCAGTGTTATTTTATAATAAAATTGTGTGTAATTAGGAAAATGGGTAAGATGAACATATTCAAATCACAACTCTAAATTTAAACGTAAAAGAAAACTCATATAAAGAAATATAAAGAAAAGCAAACAATGAAAACTACTTAAATTCTAAAACGTAAAAGACAAAGAGAAATATGAGGTTTATTCTCTTAAGAAATTACTTGAGCAGCTATTGAAAATAGGAATTGATTAGTCGATTGTGTTGACATTTGCGCAACAAAATGAACGATGAATTTCTCTCCAATTGGTTAACTATTTTATCTTAAAGAGAGTATGCTATTGATGTGGATGTAAACTCTATTATTGATGAATTCACTATATTAAAATTTAAAAGATTTACGTGTACAATTGATATTGTAAAAAAAAACTGTGATTTTTTTACGATATCTAATTTTTTAATGAAATACGGCCCAGTGCTACGCTGTGTCCTGGATCCGCCGCTGTCTACTTGCTAGCCATCCAATCCAACTCAAAAGAAAAATAGGTAAGTGAGTAACGGATCATAATTATACAACCCCATTAATAAGTGGAGGAGTCAATTTCAAGTTCAAAACGCAACCTACACACCCCATAACCTCCTCTAACATTGACCATATGACTTGTGAGATGTCTATTCCTACTCTCTACCTCTCTCTTTGCATTGTTAATATTCAAATGTAGACCCATGAATTACACAATTACAATTCCATCATTTCCTTTATTCTTGCGTGTGATTGCTTTCGAAAGGATCATAGAGAGAGAGGGAGTGGGGGAGGCTCCATTCCATCTTATATCCTCAAAATTATTAGAGAGGGAATCGAAACCCTATGGATTGGACGAGAAGAATAGCCGTTGCTTTTGAATGACTGAATATTCATATATTCCTTCGCCCTGGCCTTGTGAAGTTGATGGATCCTCATCTCGAAGAAAATCAAAATCAAAATCAAAATCATATTCGTAAGTTAATGGATTAGGGAGTCGGTATGGACACCAAATTTATAATTTTTTTTGGTTCTTAAAAAATTTAAAGTTTCTTAGAATTTTTCATACAAATATTTAAAATATAAAAATCATTTTGTTGATAATCCAACAAGTTTATTACAATACAAAAAATTGCAAATCTCTATCATATGTACATACTTCTTTGCATTATTTATAGTTATGTACAATGCTCTGGTCCAGAACTATATTTTATCAAGATAGAACTGATATGGAAATAAGAAAAATTATAGATGAAAGTAAAGAAAATTGAGAATCAGAACTGGACCAAAAGCACAAGTGGTCTAGTTTAATATGGTCCTCGTTTTAAATATTTAGAAATTCATGAAATCGAAAACCAAATGACATTATATTTGACTCCGCTTGATCCTGTTCCAAAATGCCCATTCATTTACATACGGATTTGAACGCTTCCACACTCCTAATGCTTCACATAGCGTACCACAAAAAATTGCAGCACACTAATTTAAATTGCATAAACATAATTTAGTGAAAGAGAGAAAATTCGCCATTCATGTAATCTCAACAAGAACATCTAATATTATAAGTGATTTTATTGTAATCGTGAATGCAAATCCCATGCCAAGGTGATGGGAAATAACTAGATTTCTTCAAATATATATAGGGATTGAGATTTGAGAATGATCCTTCTTTAATGCATGGCTATTGTTCATCATTGGCCTTTCTTTCGAGGGAGTTCAATTATTGATGCATCTTGAAAATGCCCCTCAGATTATTTATATTCTGGCCTTATTTTTTTGTTGCCAGATGTCCTCATGTCAATGCATGGAGCATAATTCTTCTTGTCTGGATTTTTGCTGTGACGTTCTGATCTGTAAAATGTCGATTTGATGTCTCCTCTGTTTTACTAGGTTTCGGATGAGTCTGAGGATGAACAGGGGAGAATACATAGTAAGTTGTGTGGGCATAAATTCTGCGTTTTTAATTTCAACTTGTTACAAGATACCCACTCAAAATGACTCTTTCTAGGATTTACACAAAAAAATTGTGAGGTTGTGACTCTTTTATTTGTGGTGCTTGAATTCAGTGGCGGAGGTAGGATTAGAAACTAACTATGTCCTCTTTTCATAATTTAAGTATATAATTAATAAAAATATAATAAATATAATCAAAACTAATAATATTCAAATAATTCATTCATCGATAAAGAAACAATCAACTAATATGGGATTATATTTTGCATAAACAACCACGATGGATTTTCGTATTCTGAAACAAATGCAAAATATATTTGTTGTGTACATTTTTAAGTAAATCTCTTTCAGTGTATCCCATTAAACAAGCATTAGCAAACTGATCGCCAATCCAACTTTAAAGTTGTTCTTATTACAGCTGAAGCTAGGCAAATAAATTTACGGATATATGACTTATGCACTTTCGTCTCCACCATTACTTGAGATAATTCATCATGTACAAGATGTTGTCAAATAATAGTGTCATGAATGGAATCAATTGGCTAATTTTTAGCAATTAATGAACAAATAATTTGTGATGTAAAGGCAAAACATTCTTATATTACTTGTAAGTGTGGTATTTTTTTCCTCTCCCAAAATTACCCCTGTCCCGTGACAAGGCCAAAAATGGCCCAGCTGCCTATGCTTGAATTGAATTGAGCCTGTGACATGTGAGCATCTTTGCTTGTTTTTTTTTTGTTGTCTTTCCCTATGAGTCTTTCTTAATCGGCTCATATCTTTTTCGTTTTAACTCGGTTTTTTTTTCACAGATGGAACGAGTTCATCGTGTTCTACAAAATGAGATTAATTTGCAATTTGCCCAGAAATACCATATGGTATTTTCTTCGTTTTTAATTCATTTTTTAAAACGTTTGCACAGAAGGAACAAGTTCATCACGATCTATTGGATCTACAAATTTCTGGGTGAACAAAATACAGAACCAAAAAATATCACACAATACCATACAATACCACCTTAGTACGGGGTGGTATCTTG